AGCCCAGAACTTACCATAGTCTTTTCTTGAGCACAAGGGATGCACAAACAAACCAATGGGATTAGTGAAGGAAACAGGCTCAAGGTAGCTATACCAGGAGGAGGTTTCCATCAGCTGAACACACACAGTTAGGTTACAAACAACCAAACTGCACCTGATCCTTCTTCACAAAAGGACTCTCTGTTCAGCAGAATCCGCTGCTGACTGGGTCAGGTTACAGCGTAGTTGTTGTCCCATAAAGGGCAATACTTGACAAAGTGTTGCCCAACACATCTGAGGTAGACACCGACATCCTTCCTCTTTTGCCACAGCCCATCTGGGATGCGCAAATCCCTCCATGGGAGAGAGGAAGGGTCCATGGGGTTAGCTGGACATTTGGCAAACTTGGGCAGATTTTGCTTCTGAGGTCCACACGGGCGTTTGCCAGACCCCATAGGAGAGGGGGACCTTTGTCTCTGGAGCTGATTTGCGTCCTTCATTGCGCTTACCAGTTCCTGAGCCAAAGTCAGAATAGCCTGGTCTGGGAAGCCCCCTGCACCTTGACCAGCTGAGGGAGTCAATCCTCTCTGGTCAAAGCCTGCAGAGTCTTCCGCGGATTCCTTTGCTCTTCCTTTGACTCTGAGAAGGGGAGGTGCTTCCCGCCTGGGAAGTGGACTGGATTTGGAGTTTGGCCCCCAGATCCAGGGCTGCTCTGCCAAAGGCCTTCCAGTCCTTGTGACCTGCAGAAAATAGGGCTTGTACATAAGTTATCAGGGTAGCCTGGACAAACAATTGCAATTTGTCCTGGTCTGACATGGATAACCTATGTGTAACGGTTAGCCTTTCCCAAACTGCGTAGAGCTTGGAGAGGAATCTCTGCCACTGTGACTAGCCTATCCTCTCAAGCTCTGCAACAACTTTCTTGGCTCTCTCTAGATCGACGAACCTCTCCTCCAGACCCTTAAATATGTGGTCCAATCCTACTGTAACATCCCAGTCGGCCAGCTGTTTCTGGCCCTTATTGGCCTCAGAAGTAGCCCACTGAAGTGCAGGCCCTCCCAAACGGGCCACGATGGACTGCACCTTGGTAACCTCTGGGCAAGTGAGTTCCAGACCCTTAAATATGTGGTCCAATCCTATTGTAACAGCCCAGTCGGCTAGCTGTTTTTGGGCCTTATTGGCCTCAGAAGCCCACTGAAGTGCAGGCCTTCCCAAACGGGCCACAGTGGACTGCACCTTGGTAACCTCTGGGCAAGTGAGTTCCTTGAGGTGCCATCTCATCGAGGCAGTCCAATCTGCTACATCCACTTTGGGTTATCCTCAGTGAATGTGTTAGGTTGAACTGTCTTGGGGCGCCTCAATTTCTATTGGCCTAGGCCTGCAGTCACTTCAGCCTCAGAAGTCACAGGCTGCTCTGCCACAAGCTGCAGGGACTGCACCTCGGGAGGTGTAGCTAATCTGCCCGTGAGACAATTGGCTTGGGATGATGCAGCAGCAGAGGACCTTGCATGGGAATGGGGCGTAGCAGGAGTAGGAGTAGTGGGAGTAAGAGTAGGGAGGAAACATAGATTAACAACTGCCACAAAACGATCAAAGGAATCTGCAAGGGAGGAGAGTTTGGTTTCAATGATGGACAATCTGTCCGCCATCAAACATCTTTCATCCCATGAGGTGTGTTCTTACCTCCTCACTTCCTTGGATTGCCTCAACTTTCCTTCTTCTGCTTCTCCATCTGCTCCAATTGCAACCGAGCTGCCTCTGCAGCCTTACCTATTTCTCAGTGACAGGCAATTCCTTGCACTGACTGAACTCTCTTCCCCCATTCCAGAAGGTTCCTTTCGAACAACAAGATAAACGCAGAAGTGGTCAAAAGGCTGAAGCCCAACCCAAACAGATTAACAAGCTTACGTGGACTGTTTTCTGACTGACTTGCGGGAATGGCACAGACCAACAAGACTGACCAACAGGGTTATACCTGATAGCAGCCTTGACTAATCTCTCAACTCCTGCTGATCGGTTCACTCATACCGATTCCCAACTCTGTGTAGGAATGTTTTCAGGCAGAGGTACTGACAATAGTGACTGACACCCAATTGCATATGGACTCGACCTTGATCAGCGAATATCTTCTCTCAGCAAATTATTTATTTGTTAGAAAAGACACAAATAAAATACAAGTAAAATACTCAGATTACCGTTCACACCGAGAACCAGATAATTAGAGTTGAACTGTGCTGTTTAAAGGTATGGGGAACACGGCAGGTTGTGTCAAATGTTAAGAGACAATTTGAGAGCTTATGGGCTCAGCCCAACAGCCAAACGAATTACTTTAACTAAGCCCACAACCAAATCAGAAACACAAACTTTTCTTTTCTGATCAGGCTCACAACAGAGCCTTCCCACAACCGTCAGCATTTCACAGGAGGGGAGAGAGGTACTTGATTTATGCAATCAGGAGAGAAAAATAAAAATAAAACATGAGTGGATTTCAGAACCCGCAAATGCTGTCTGCATTAGTTGCTCTAATCAAGATTGGAATATTCACCTGAGGACCTTACGTCTGATGCAGGCAGAAGTCAACATTAATGGACTGACACTTTTCTGACTGCATATAGTAATTGCCATTTGACAGGACTGACTGACAGACTGAAACAGGTGGTTGAAACAGACGCTGTTTACGGAAGGTACGTGCAGTACTGAGGCAATTACATCAAGCCAGGGTTAGTCAAAGCAATTCCATTATGAGGTTAGAACAAACTCAGAGATGGGTCAGAAACAACCAAAACGTTTGCTGACAACCGATCTGATCTAGACTGCGCACGGACTGATGACTGACAGATGCTGACAGTCACAGACAGGGTCTGACGTTGGACCGGGAAATGCATGGAACGGATTCACTTGAACGAAACCTGATTGAAGATATCCGGGCGGTCAACCATTGACTTCCAATCTGCAGCAGAATACCGCAGAACCAGGCTGACACTGATGTCAGACCTACAGCGAAGATTCCCAGTCTTCCAATCAAGTAACTCGTCGGAGTAATCCCAGCAGCGGCCCAAACGGTTGAACACACTGCCAACAGGCAACGCCTGTAACTTGAGGGTCGCAAGGCCCTCAGGTCTACCAGACCTTCTAGGTTGATGCAGCGGTCAACTCTGCTCTCGCCAGCTGAAACTTCCAGTGAATGTTCCACCATTTCGCATCAAATTTTTTGCTCTCGCCAGCTGAACTTCCAGTGAATGTTCCACCACTCCACATCAAGTTTTTTTTTTTGATTCCGGTAATTCTCCCCTCGCACACTACCTTTCACCACCTCTCACCAGTGACGTCCGATGAAGAAAACGGACAGCAAGTCCCTACTCCAACCGCCACTCAGAAAGGAGGTTGCCACTCAATTGCTCGCCGGTTGCGCACGGTTGCAGCTCTGATACCAACCGTTATGTACCCGATTGAACTTCAATCCACAACAAATTCACACGCTCCCATGCACGCATGCAATTGCAGAGTAGACTCGAAGGAGGTAAATCCACACAAAACCGGAGAGAGAGAGATGCACAGCGGAAGCTCAATACGCATGAGAGAATTGAAAAACGAATGTCAATTCTTATTCATCACCCATCCTCCTCCAGTCAATTCAGAGTACTTCATTCCAAGAATCACAACCGCATTTACAACAGCCCCGAACAACTGAAAACAAATGATCAACGAACTTTTCAGTCCTCCTCCTCGCCACCTCATCACCCTCGCTATGGCTGCAGTAGCAGCAGTAAAACCCACAGCTCACAACGTGCCAATCTGAACCGGGAACCACAACTTTCGTGCAGTGCTGGAAGTCCTGATGAAGAAGGAGACAACCAATCCAACACTTCGAAGAAGGTGAAGTTCCTCAAGAGAAGGAACATCAGATATGGCTGCCAAGTGGAAGATGGCAGCCCCCAAACCCAACAACACAGTCCTGTGGAAGCTCTAATGCAGAGCCGTAAAATAGCAGCATTGCGACGAGGAAGCAGATGACCTCGCCCAATATAGCGCAGCAGCGCTCCAACAACGGACGGCCAAAGTTTCCCCAGCAGCACCAAACAAGAAAAGACTTGAACCAAATTTCCTGCCCGCTACCCCTACCGTCTGTCTACACCTATGACGGACTCCAAAGGCAACAACCCAAGACTCATCTGTGTCTAGATGGAAACAGGGGGAAAAGGGGACCTAGACCTATGACAAAGCAAGATCTGTCTACACCTATGATGGACTCCAAAGGCAACAACCCAAGACTCATCTGTGTCTAGATGGAAACGGGGGGAAAAGGGGACCTAGACCTATGACAAAGCAAGAGGAAAAGTTTGAATGGCCTAAGACTACCAAACAGAGACTACTAGTGACAGACCCGGGGATCAAGTCCCATAGGGTGCAGCACTCGCAAACAAAACACACGAGTTACAGGTTATGGGATCAAGTCCCGCAATGCTCAAAACAAAGAAACAGCAAAAACAAAATACACAGCCGAACACTTCGTGTACAGCCCGACTGGGAAACTGCGATTTATTGCTGTTGAGTGTTGGGGGCCTTGGGGCGACAAGAGTGCAGGCAGGTGCGAACAATTGAACAATTAGGTTCTGATTGCTAACGGGTAATGATGTTCTCGTGGGTACGGTCGGGTCAGGGTGAAAGTTTGTACTAGGTGGTGGGCTGGTCAAGGTGAAGATTGTTTTTCTGTTGATGGGCAGGTTGGGCACAGGAGCAAAATTTCGGATAATATTTGAGCAAGCTGGGCCGCCTTCAAACAAAATTTTATTTTTTCAGCAAGGGTGGGCTGTACCAGAAATAGGTTGTGCAGGTGGGGTGAAGTGGCAACTCAAAATGTAAATGGCAAAATGTTCATCACCACCGTTCAGCTTGTGTATTGGCATCCCACACAAGGGAGCAACAGGGGGAATAGGTGCACGGTCTTGTCAGTTTTTTGAACTTTTTCCCCTATTTTCTCAAATTCTAATGTGGGAATATGTGGTTTTCTTTGTGTGAAGGTGATTTACTATGTCCTCTGCCAGGCTTTGGAGCCACTTCTTGTAGCAACAGGAGAGTTCTTCCACGAGTTAAGTACAGGTTGGTTATTCAGAACCTGATCTTATGTCTTATAAACTGTTGAAGATTACAGCCAACTGTTTTCAGACTGCTTCTAGCTCTCTCTCTTCCGTGGCCAGCTCAGACCGTCTAGTATTCTCCTGGCTGATCATGTCTGATTTTGTCGGTGGGATGGTTTGTGTAGGTTATACCCTGGTACATTCCACATGAGAAGTGCTGCTGGTAACTGCTGGCCATCATGGACGCGTGTTAGA